TACCAAATTCTCTACGCAAACATGGCAAAGCAAATGGAATTTCATTACGAAAGTTGATTCTTTTTTAATGGTAAACTATATAATATATCTGGAGCGTAGATTTGGGAAGACAAAATTTTAAAAATAAACAAACAAGCATAGAAAATTCTACGTTGCGCTATTGTGACGAAGCCAAATCGCATACACAATTCATTATAATCCTGGCCACGAGGCGGATATTTTTTATCAACCTTAAATACCAAATATTTGAGGAACCTCTTCTGAATATATTCTAAATAATTATTATACTTTTTAAATTGAGGAATAGCAATAAAAGAAGAAAATTCAATTTTCGATAATTAATGAGAAAAAAAGTAACTTTAAAGTCTTAATGTTATAATATTTCAATTCCAGGAATTGTATTTTATTATTTATTCTTAATTAAGTGTAATTAATAATTTAATATTTTTTTTTTTTTTTTTTGATAAACCTATATAATTTCTATAATTATAATTATTTCTTATTATTTTTTAATAATAGTATTTGTATCTAATAATAATAATTAATAAAAAAATTGAAAAAAAATAATTTATGTTAATCTAACATAAAGTTTTTAGAAAAATTAAAATTTTTTTCTATTTTTCAAAATTGGATTAATAATAATTTTGAATTTGACTGTACAAGATAAACATTCTTAATCTTTTCCTTTATGAGAAAACGAAGTGCTCATAAAAAAAGCACTAGAAAAATTCATAGAGAGATAAATAAAGGGAAGACCATAATCAAATTCACTGTTGTTTTATTGCTTCTTCTTTTACTTCTTAAAAAAAGGAGAAAAAAAATTTTTCATATATATATATCTTATAATATAATTTTCCATCAGTTATATTATTTTTTTGCCGCAACTTTCGAGAAATGATAGAATGGAATCTTTTCTTAATCATATTTTTGATTAAACGAGAGAAATATTAAATATACTTAACTCATATCCAAGTTCTCGTTATATTTTGTATTTTCTAGCTTGATTGTATAAAAGAGGCCTATGCGGCATTTATCGTAATGATCCATAAGTAATCGTGAATCTTGGAGAGAGAGAGTCTTAAGGAATTTGCTTCTTTGATTTTCTGTCAGATGCAATCATTTCTTTAGCTTTGTTCCATTACTATCTTGATTTCATATTGGAATTTTCTTCTGAAATAATATCCAATCATAATTTTTATCATAATATTCATTTTCGTTCAATAACAAAGATGCTGTTTTTGATAAATTTTTTAGCATTAGTTTTCATACATGTAAATTATTTTTATTATTATTATTATTATTATTATAATTTTTTTAAATAATTTAATAATACAGAAAAATTATTGATTTATTGTAAAAATTCATTAAGAATCTTAAAATTTTTATATAAAATTTTAAAATAATTTTTTTTTCACTTTACTATTTTTTTATTTTGAAAAAATTTGAATTTAAAATTAAAAAAATATTTAAGGAATAAAGGTACACATTAACATAATTTCAAAACTGAGAACCTTTTTTTTAACAATTTAACGCTAACAAAATTATGATTAAAATTAATTGCAACCAAGTTTAGAAGATCTTGTTTTGCATTTTGCATATAAACGATGTAGAACTTCTGTAATATGATATACCTTTATAATTATTTTTGTCACCTGCCTCACCATGCTTTTCTCTATTCTAGTTCCCCACCCTGTATCGAAAAATAGCTACCAATCTCTGCAAAGTGTCACAATTATAGGCCTAAGCAGAATGAAATCTCTAATCGTAAATCTTAAGGCCAGGTCCAAGTGAGACAGCGCCATCTACATTGATACTAAAATTTTGGAAAATTTTCAACAGCCTTTTCTTGAAAACAAGAAGGTAAAATGCTTTTACCTTTATGGATAATTGATTATTGGCAAGATATACACCAGCTAAAACTTTTTTTGAGTTAAAATAATAAAAAAAATTTCATGTCAATAAATTAAATATGAGCACTTTTTTCACAAAAACTGTAACAATACTTTCTTAGAAATTACAATCAAAAATGCAATTTCCATTTGGAAAATTAATGAACGCTAAAAAATGCACTACCTAAGATTTACCAATCACGAAAATAACAAAAAAAAATTTTATTAAATATTTAACATATTGATACTGCTTTACAAGATTGTGACAGCCCTTTGGTAGATTATGTATTTCAGGTGGTTAGCAACAGCGCCAATCTCCTCCTTTCGGCAAAACTGCGAAACGTCTGGTGACATATATAACCTTCCAAACGGCTGTCATAATGAGTAAAATATGTTATGTTAATACTTTTTTTTTGTTATTTTCGTGATTGGTAAATCTTAGGTCGTGTATTTTTTAGCGTTTATTAATTTTCCAAATGGAAATTGCATTTTTGATTGTAATTTCTGAGAAAGTACTGTTACAGTTTTTGTGAAAAAAGTGCTCATATTTAATTTATTGACATGAAATTTTTTTTATTATTTTAACTCAAAAAAAGTTTTAGCTGGTGTATATCTTGCCAATAATCAATTATCCATAAAGGAAAAAGCATTTTACCATCTTGTTTTCAAGAAAAAGCTGTTGAAAATTTTCCAAAATTTTAGTATCAATGTAGATGGCGCTGCCTCACTTAAACCTGGCCTTAAAGTTTATTCTAACTATATAGCAAAAATATATTAAATGTGACGCGATCTGAAGAAAGGGCCTTAGAGGTAAATGAATTACAGGTTATGTTTACCACAGATTTACTTGAACTAAAATTTTTGTTTTTGTAAAACTGAAATCAGTTTTTATTGAATATTTTGGATGTAATGTAGACCTAAATATCATTAGTTTGAATTTCAAGTCGAACGTCTTTGTATATATTTTCACTTTAAAATTTCAAAACATAACCTATAATTTTTTTCTTCTAAGATCCCTTTCTTCCGATCGTGTTGCAAATTTGAATTAAAAATAATATGGTTGAACTAAAAATCGTTTTCTCGATTTAAAAAAAAAAATCTTTTTATTTTGTGAATAAAATTTTATTTTGTTTCGTTAATGATGTCAATTTTTAAAGTCTACTATATATCAGTAATGTGATTACTGTACACATTCTAAAAAAATTGTAGAATAGTTGCAAAAAAAAAAAAAAAAAATCCAATTTGCCCTTTATAATAATAGAGAAGACAAAAATCGACACAAGTTTCCACTTAACTGGTGCGTATTCCTGCGTTCGACTTTGCTCGAATTAGGAAGTGGTTCGCGTGGGAAAACGGATCCTATATACCACTTGTAGAGAGCATTCGAAGCTTGGTGGAGCAAGGACACAACGTGCGAAAGAAGGGATTAAAACCCCCACTATTTAATGTTTCATGGTACGGCATGGGAAAGCGCGCGAGCTACATCGGGGGCGTTCTTCACATCCAGTCTCAGTTCTATTCTAACATCTCCCAAGTATCACGCAGTTTATAAAATAGACCCTTTATAAAAGCTTCTTTTTTTCATTATTATGTTTTTTCATTGAATTTTTTGTTTCTCGAACTTAAAAAAAAAAAGAAAATTACCTGCGTTCAATTTTTATCTCAATTTAAAAAAAAAAACTCAACTTGAAAATTTTATGTGAAAAATTCTATTATTTGCCGCATTTGATTTGAAAGAAAATTAAATTCTAAAATTGAACTACAAATAAAAACTCAATAATTAAAAAAATAATAATGAAAATTGTTTTAAAAAAATGTTTTGAAATTCAATAATTAAAATAAAAATAGTAATTAAAATGGTTTAATTAAGTAAATAAAAGTATTTAATTAATAATAAATAAATAAGAGGAAAAATGTTTTATTTGATGATAATAAATAAAATTAATTGAATCAATAAATCGGATCAATTTGAATAATAATTGCGAAGAAGATTAAATTAAATAAGAAGAAATAAAATTTTAAAAATCTTCAAGAGGAGAATTGGTTTGAAAAAATCAAAAATGGGGAATTTTTTTTCATCAAATGGTCCATGAGAAGGACAAGAAATTACAATTAGGATCACGTTTCCTAATCATTTTTTTTTTATGAAAAAAGAAAGAAAAATTAACTCAGCACCTGAATTATAAATTGATTAATTAATTTCCTGGATCATCAGCTTATCAACTAAATTATCAATTGGATCATCGGATCAGAAACTGGATCATCAGTTTTTCAATTGGATCATCAGCTTATCAACTAGATCATCAAATAATTAACTTGATCATTAGTTGATTAATTGGATCATCAATTAATGATTGAATCATCAGAACATCATATATGGATAATCAGTAAATGACAGAATAATCATTTAATGATTAAATCATCAGTGAATGACTGAATCATTTGTAAATAAATGAATCATCAGTTCGTCAATTTGGTCATTAATTAATCATCTGAGTCAGCAGTTTATTAACTGGATCATCAACTATTGACTAAATCATTAAAATATCAGTGGATCATCATCAGGTAATCACAGTATCATCATTGAATCATTTTTCGATTTAAATAATCAGTCAATGACTAATTAAACAATCAATTATTGATTATTGAATTAATTATGATCAATCATGATCAATCATTGGATCATCAGATTATCATTGAATTAGCAGTTAATTTGAATCATCAATTGAATTATCAGTTAATGACTAAATCAGCATATTAATTGGAATCATCAGTTAATCATTTGGATCATCAGTAAATCACTCCGATCATCAATTAATCATTTGGATTATCAGTAAATCACTCGGATAATCAGTAATTCACGTGGATCAACGATTAATCACTTAGATCATCAATTAATCGATTCGTCAATAAAATCTGATCATCAATTAATCATCTGAATCATTAAATCAGCCGATAGATTAACAGATGACAAAATAAATTATCAAAAAAGAAATTGAAATTCACTACAACTAAATTATAGAAATTGATAAATTAAAAAAAAAATAATAATTTTTTTACTAAATTCTATTCACGAGAATTCAAATTACACTGACCTGTATGCTTATAAAGAGAAGTGATCTGAATTCTTTGAATAAAAAAGAAAAAAAATTGAGCTCGTAAAGAGATGTGAGAAAACGTTAATTTCAAGATGTTCAAGATGTAGGCGAGCTTCACATTAGAAAGAGGATACTCGCATGGAAATTAAATACATTTCTATAATATCAGGTTTCGCGTACGATCTTCACTGAAACATCATCTACAGGAAGTTTGTATAGTCGCTGAGAGAACACACTAATCTGGAATTCAACTTTCCAAGAGGAAAACGAGAGATAAATAATAATAACTACATACCTTGTAAATGTACAGTGAGATCAAGAGCCATGTGAAATTGGAAGTGACATTTTCAAAATATTCAACAATTCAAAAATAGTAAAAAATAATTTTTAAAAAATGTGATTTCAATATTTAAAAGTGAATTTATTAAAATTTCATCATTTTTCTTCAAGAAAAAAAGAAAAAACAACTTTTTTCTTCACTTTCAAAAACCAATTTTCAAAAAGTGATTTCTTGTTTTCCCCCCCCCCCCAAAAAAAATCAGAACACTAAATATATTTTCTAATTCGTAGATCAATTATAATATTTAATAATTTTTTTTCCAATAAATAAATGGAGCACAGCTAGAATTGCAGGTCGTGGTTCAAAAAAAAAAAAAAAAGAAAAATAGAACACCAAATTATCATTTGGTTTCGGTGATGAAAAAAAAATTGAAAAAAAGTTCTCTTCAATAGAAGAAAGTGAACAGAAATTTGGAAGAACTATATATCTCTCTCTGACAAGATAATAATAATTCGAGCGTGTCAGCATGAAAATAAAATGTTTAAAGGTGCCAAGACCTTTCTAGCCTTCATTTCTATTGTCTGCAAGTTACACACCGTGTGAACAGAAGCTGGAAATTTTTGAATCAAAGTGGTTTTTTTTTTAAACTAATAATGATAAAATTATTAATTTGACTATAATAATAATAATAATTTGGTGATGAAAAATATTTGAATAATATTGAAATATTAATCGTTGAGAGAAATATATACTAATATTATTGGAATTCCTATTTTGGCTTACAAAAATAAAAGGTAAATAGCGTTCTATTCTAATTGTTTCTAAATTCGAATTAATTAAAGTAACAATAAAATTTAAATTTTGTTTAATAATTATCGAAATTTAGGAGGGGAATTTTTTTTTTAACAATTATCATTGAAAATTGAATTTATTTGTTTATGTAGAATTTTTACTGATTTGATTTAATGAATGAAAAATATATTAGAAATTTATTTGTTAGTTTTTTTTTACTAACATTTATTGTTGGTAATATTTATTTTTGGTAATATTAATTGTTAGCAAATTTTTAATTTACTAATGTTTATTTCTACAAATTTTTAGTTTTAGTAATATTTTTTTTAACCAACATTTATTTTTATTAATGTTTCTTTTGACTAATTTTTATGTTTAGTAATATTCAGTTTTACTAACATTGATTTAGTAATATTTATTTTTAGTAATATTTATATTTACAAACATTTCTTTACTAATATTAATTTCTACTAATTTTTATTTTTAGTAATATTTATTTTTACTATCATTTAGTTTCACTAATATTTAGTGTTACTAATGTTTAGTTTTACTAATGTTTAGTTTTATTAATGTTTAGTTTTACTAATGTTTAGTTTTACTAATGTTTAGTTTTACTAATATTTAGTTTTACTAATATTTAGTTTTACTAATGTTTAGTTTTACTAATGTTTAGTTTTACTAATGTTTAGTTTTACTAATGTTTAGTTTTACTAATGTTTAGTTTTACTAATATTTATTTTTACTACTGTTTATTTTTATTTTTTACTAATATTTAGTTTCACTAATAGTTAGTTTCACTAATAGTTAGTTTCACTAATAGTTAGTTTCACTAATTCACCAATAGATAATGAAAATAAATAATATTTTATTATTGCTAAATGAAATAATATTAATTTTAATTTGTTTACTATTTTCATTTTCATTTTTTTTTTTTTTTTTTTTTTTCATAAATTCAAGTAACAAACTTATTCAATTTTGTCAATGAAAATTCACTATACATGGCGATTTTTATATTCCGGACCGCTCAAAATTTTTTTTTTCAATTCCACTTTTTTTTGGTTTAAAAATCAAAAAAAAAATGAAGTTAAAAAAAAAATTTTAGAGGGGCTTAAACATAAAAATCAACCTGTATATTTTACTAAAATAAAAATTACTTTTTCCCATTTTAAAAAAAAATAGTTATTTCTTATACTGATTGCTATAATTATTATTAATTACTAATTTGATAAATTAATAATAATATAGAATAGAACAAAATTTTGATATTGAGCTTTTTTTTCCACAGCTTTTTTGTGAAACTTTATATTTTTTGAGAACGCTTTCTTGGGATTCAATGATTAATAAAATTGCAGAAAGAAAGGGAATTAAAGAAAAACCTGTTGACTTGTGACAATGCTATATTAGATTTGATGCTCCAGGAAATGACAAAGAAATGACGTGAACAAGTGAATTTGATATAAAAGAAAAGAAATTGTACACAAGATTTCTTATTAAACTTTTTTCTTTTCATTTAAATGAAAAGGAATTTACCACTGAAACTAATTTATTTCGCAGGTAATTAAAATAATTATAATTCTACAAACTTTAATTTATTTATTTTTTAATTAATTTTTTAAATTTGAATACATTTTTTTTATAGAAAATAAAAATTTCGATATTATAATAATTATAATAATAATTATACATATTAATAATAATATTAATAATATATTATTATTATTATTTTATTATTATATTAATAATAATATAATATAATAATTGGAAAAAAATTATACTTTGTTGAAGAGAAATTCCTGTAATTTTTATCCGCTTAAAATAAGATGAAAATAGTATATCAGCTAAAAAGTATAATACTCTCATTTCAAATAATTGTAGAAAATTTCAGAAGAGAAAACTTCGTTAACGAAATCTATATAAAAAATAATAAAATGCGTTTTTTTTTTATTTTTTATTTGATAAAAATGAAAAAAAAACAACACTTTTGCAGATAGGGGAAAATATTAAATTCTTCAGTCATCACAGATTGCAGTGCAAAAAAAAAATTAAAAATCGAAAGTGTCTATCTTTGAGAAAACTCACTTTTTAATTAAATTTAATTTCAACTTTTTTGTTGCTTTCGTTATAGGTACATTATTTTTGAGCAAATATTTGAAAAATTTGAGAAAAAGTCAACAAATTTCATATACAGCATAATTTTTTTATTCATTAGTACAATAGATAAAAAAAAATGTTTCAAAAATAAACTGCCTTTGATGACGTTAAATTCCAAAAAAATCATAACATTCTTCATTTTTATCAAATAAAAAAATAAGAATTTTCTTATTTTTCATATAGATTTCAAAAAAAAATGTTTCGGGCAAAAAAAAATTTTGAATGAAAATTTCCCATGGAATGACCCATATATATAAACGAGCTTACAAAAAGAAAGAAATGAGCCTTTCGTACGAAGATACTATATTAAGGAAACTATATATTATAAAAGTACAACATAAATAGTATTCAAAATATATAAACAAAAAGTTTTAGTAGATTTTAGTAGGTAGCGTTGTTATTAATTTAAAAATTTTTTTACGTAATGACGTCGTAAATCCACTCAATGAGGAATCAAAAAAATCTAAGTTCGGTAAATCTATGTATAATATAAGAAATACATCAAAAAATGAAGATAATTTAATATTATTTGTTATTTAATATTTATTGTATTATTTAATTGAAATAAAAGTTATTATCAATAAATTAAACGCAAATTAAAGGATAATAATACGATGCTATAAATTACCTACAATTAAAAGTAAATCAATATAAATTTATATCGTTACCACCATCGTAGTAAAAAGTTATAAATATGTATTAACTATACAATTATTATTATTATTAAAACCTAATAATTTATTACTATTAATAGATAATATTTATTTATTATTAAAAAAAACTAATAATTATTATTATTATATTAATTATAGCTATATAATTATTAATGTTATTTATCAATATATAACATTTTAAAACAAAATAAATCTTACATGGCAAAATTAATTCAGTACTCTCTTAATTTGAATCAGTGAAATAGCTAGAAGTCGGTTACTGAATCATTTAGTGAAATTTTCACTGAAAATCAGTCATATATCACTGATTTCCAGTGAAAATTTTACTAAATGAATCAGTCAATCTGTTTTACCCATTACGGATAATACAGTTTGACTGATTCATTTAGTAAAATTTTCACTGGAAATCAGTGATATATGACTGATTTTAAGTGAAAATTTCACAAAATGATTCAGTAACCGACTTCTAGCTATTTCACTGATTCAAATTAAGGCCAGGTCCAAGTGAGGCAGCGCCATCTACATTGATACTAAAATTTTGGAAAATTTTCAACAGCCTTTTCTTGAAAACAAGAAGGTAAAATGCTTTTTCCTTTATGGATAATTGATTATTGGCAAGATATACACCAGCTAAAACTTTTTTTGAGTTAAAATAATAAAAAAAATTTCATGTCAATAAATTAAATATGAGCACTTTTTTCACAAAAACTGTAACAGTACTTTCTCAGAAATTACAATCAAAAATGCAATTTCCATTTGGAAAATTAATAAACGCTAAAAAATACACGACCTAAGATTTACCAATCACGAAAATAACAAAAAAAAATTTTATTAAATATTTAACATATTGATACTGCTTTACTGATTGTGACAGCCCTTTGGTAGATTATGTATTTCAGGTGGTTAGCAACAGCGCCAATCTCCTCCTTTCGGCAAAACTGCGAAACGTCTGGTGACATATATAACCTGCCAAACGGCTGTCATAATGAGTAAAATATGTTATGTTAAAATACTTTTTTTTTGTTATTTTCGTGATTGGTAAATCTTAGGTCGTGTATTTTTTAGCGTTTATTAATTTTCCAAATGGAAATTGCATTTTTGATTGTAATTTCTGAGAAAGTACTGTTACAGTTTTTGTGAAAAAAGTGCTCATATTTAATTTATTGACATGAAATTTTTTTTATTATTTTAACTCAAAAAAAGTTTTAGCTGGTGTATATCTTGCCAATAATCAATTATCCATAAAGGAAAAATCATTTTACCTTCTTGTTTTCAAGAAAAGGCTGTTGAAAATTTTCTATAAAATTTTAGTTTCAATGTAGATGGCGCTGCCTCACTTGGACCTGGCCTTAAGAGAGTAGATTTTACAGAACTATCACGGAGTAGCGGATTCAGCTCTTTACGAAACTGAGTGTTAATAAAATGTCACGAAATATTCAGAATAAACTCCAGAAATATTCAGGTATAAACAACGAAATTTCTGTAGTTTATCCGAAAATATCCATCACATTTTACAAAACTCAATTTCGTAGAGAGCTGTATCCGCTACTCCGTCACAGTTTTGTAAAATATACTGAATTAATTTTTTCCGTGTATAATATAATTGAAAAATATAACATGTTTTTTTTTAAATCTAAACAAAAATAAAAACTAAGTAGCGTTGTTATTATAAAAAATTTTCACGTATATTTTATTTACGTAAATTTTTACATTAACAAAAAAAAAATTAATATAATTATTATTTAATAAAAAATTACTTGAAAAATTTAATTAATCAATTGATAAATTGTTTATAATAAATGAAAAATAAAAAAAAAATTCTCATAATTTTTTTTATGCAAACGTGAAAGAATTAGAAATAAATATGCATTTGCATTAAACTCTCTTTTTCTTCTTTAAGAGTAGTGATTTATTTAAAATCATACGCTTTTTAATTCACGTTATATATTATTATAAATCCATTATACAACCTTTGCGTGCAATTCGCTATTATAATATGAATTACTGTAATGTATTATATTCGTGTATTATAAATTCTCGGTCATTTCTGTAGTCTATATAGTTTCAAATGTTTTACTTTACTATATACAACTTTTTTTTTTTTTTTTTTTAGATTATATCAAATTACTCCTCAAATATATTCAGATATAATCACATTAAAATAATGGTACAAGATATATATTATATTTAGTGTAACAAGATGAGAGTAAAATTATAATTTTTTAACAGGATTTTAATATTATAATAATTGAATATGTTACTATTTATGTATATATAAAAAATTTATACAATTTTATTTGTACAAAAGAGTGATTAACAACAACATATAATAATAATAATAATTTTCTCTATGAGTGGAAAATTCTCTTCTAAAATCATCTACAATTTTTTTACTTTAAATGAGAGTATTACTTCTCAATCAAAAATTAGTCTACCTCCATATTTTATTTTTTTTAGTCTACCTCTATATTTTCTTTTTTTTAGTCTAAAAGCGATTTATGCCACTGAGAAAACGATATTTTTAGTTCAACCATATCATGTTTAATTCAAATTTCTTGGTAAGAAGAGGTTTATTGAAAACAATTAAAATGGTTACAATGTTACAAATATTGTTCAATTTTCAAACAGTTGATTCTATAAACTAATGTCATTTTTGAACTTGAATAATTTAATTCCCCGGGAGATAATTCATTTGTATACACAATGAAAAAAAAATTTATTTGATTAAGGTATTTCTCCGGCAAATCGATTTTCGATAGAATTTTTTTAAACTCTGGGAAAATGTTTCTTTTTATGTACTTTATAAGTGGTAAAAAAACCCAGTACTCCTTACCATGCTAAAAACTAAGAAATCTGGGTTCAAAATTGCACCATCAGTTAACATAGGATTCCTAATCTCACGAAGTAGAATAAGGATACCCTACTGTCCGGGAAAGCTGAAACTGTTTTCCCCGTCCCACACAGCTCAGTATATTGCTGTAAGCTTACCTCAAGCTTACATGTAATTTTTGTAAGCTAACCCTGTAAGCTTCAGGTAAGGTCGAGGTAATATAAAAATGTCCGCCATACAGTAAGCTTACACAGTAAGGCCATAGTAAACTTACATGGCAAAGTCACTGTAAGGTTACAGTAAGCTTACACGGCAAGTTTTCAAAGGTATCAATAAATAATTTTTTAAAAATATTTATGCGCAGTAGCTTTCTATTGCACTTACGAATGCGCAGTAAATTTTTTTAAGCAAACCCTTAGGGGTTTTTTATATAAATGACAAAATAAATATAATTGTGCAAAACAATTTATTGTTTACTGTAAGTTGATAAATTAATACTTTGTTATTTGTTAGCAATTAATATAAGCTTACCGTGTAAGCTTACCATGACTTTACCATGTAAGTTTACCATGGCATTACTGTGTAAGCTTACTATATGGCGGACATTTTTATATTACCTCGACCTTACCTGAAGCTTACAGGGTTAGCTTACAAAAATTACATGTAAGCTTGAGGTAAGCTTACAGCAATATATTGTGTTGTGTGGGCAAATAAAAATTCTAATAAATTAATTTCAGGCATTATTCATGTTTCTTAATAACTATTTTTTTTTTTTTAATAGAAAAATTTTTTTTTTGCACAAATGAAATTTTATTTGTCGTATAAATAAAATTTTTATTTGAAGCAAATAAATATTTATTTGGCTCTTAGAAAAATATATGCGGCATTCCACGGGAAATTTTCATTCAAATTTTTTTTTTTTGCCCGAAACATTTTTTTTCGAAATCTATATGAAAAATAAGAAGGAAATAAGTATTTTATTATTTTTGATGAAACTAAAGGAAGTTATGATTTTTTGAAATTTAACGTCAACGAAGGAAGTGTGTTTTTAAAACATTTTTTTAATCTATTGTACTAATGAATAAAAAATTATGCTGTATATGAAAATTGTTCACTTTTTCTTAAATTTTTCAAAAATGTGCTCAAAAATAACGTTCATATAACGAAAGCAAGAAAAAAGTTGAAATTAAAGTTAAAAATTTAGTTTTCTCAATGAGAGACACTTTCGATTTTTAATTTTTTTTTTGCACCGCAATCTCTGATGACTGAAGAATTTTTCCCCTATCTGCAAAAGTGGTACTTTTAGTTTTTAAATTATTATTTACAACTTTTAAGATAGACGCAAAGATTTATAGTATGTATTTTTGAAAATTACCAAAAAAAAAAGAATATTAATGGGAAAAGGTTATATTTGTAGAATAACTGCTTGAAATTCTGTGAGCCGTACTAAGAAAATTAAAAATAGTAATTTAAAAACTATATGAGTAGAATATCGAGATTCCTTGTACCAAACAAAATCATTTCTCCAAAATTTAAACCTAAAATCATTTTTTATTTCAGAGTAAGTTTTAAACCACAAAAAAAACGTCCTTTGCCCACATACCCTTAAAGGAAGAAACTTACGTAATTTGTGAAAAATAGCGATTTTGTCCCCATTTACCCCAACTGACCCTACATATTTTCTTATTTTTTATATAAATTTCGAAGAAAAATGTTTCGAGCCAAAAAAAAAAAATTTTGAATGAAAATTTCCCGTGGAATGCCCTATACTTATTTTTTCTACAGAATACATAAGAACAGTATATAACCGCGGAAAATGTTTTTAAAACAAATTGTGCGCCAATTTATTCGCCTCTCCCCTTTTTTTTCTTTAGCCATTGAGAGAAGAAAAAAATTCTCTATTATCAAGATAATTTATGAGACATATATATCCGCTAGTTTAAACGTGTATTGAATTTTCTCTATACCTATTTACAATTTTTTTTTTTTGTTTTTTGCAAATAATGATTTGTTTTTCTTTTAATACATAATTTGTGCCACTTATTGTTGTCGCAGATGCTTGACAGTATATATATATATATATATATGAAAAACAATGACGGAAGGAAAGAAGTCGCATAGGAATTTGAAGATACCGTATAGAATAATCGATGATCTTTCTTGCAAGTCATCAGTCTCAGGTGTTGCTGACGAAGAAATTCAAACTCGTTATAAATGAAAACGGTAAGTTGATCTGAATTCACGCGAAAGTTTTATATCAATCATATCCTGATAAAATCACTTTTTTTTATCTTTATACGAGGATTTAGAAAACGAGACTTTTGTTTAGTTTATATCTTAGTCATGTTACTTACATTTTTCTTCTTTGATACATCCTGGTCCCATATATCAATTACCATTTCTCGTTTATTTTTTATTTTATTATAATAATATAAGCTTTAAATTATAAATTACTAAATAATATTATTATTTTTATTATTATTGCAAATGATAAAACAGACCTACCTTTAATATTTTGTGTAAATTAATATTTAATAGATTTTATTTTAATTTACCTTTAATGCATTTAATATATTGCATTTTCAAATTAATGCTATTTAACGCCAGGTCCAAGTGAGGCAGCGCCATCTACATTGAAACTAAAATTTTGGAAAATTTTCAACAGCCTTTTCTTGAAAACAAGAAGGTAAAATGCTTTTTCCTTTATGGATAATTGATTATTGGCAGGATATACACCAGCTAAAACTTTTTTTCAGTTAAAATAATAAAAAAAATTTCATGTCAATAAATTAAATATGAGCACTTTTTTCACAAAAACTGTAACAGTACTTTCTCAGAAATTACAATCAAAAATGCAATTTCCATTTGGAAAATTAATAAACGCTAAAAAATACACGACCTAAAATTTACCAATCACGAAAATAACAAAAAAAAATTTTATTAAATATTTAACATATTGATACTGCTTTACTGATTGTGACTGCCCTTTGGTAGATTATGTATTTCAGGTGGTTAGCAACAGCGCCAATCTCCTCCTTTCGGCAAATCTGCGAAACGTCTGGTGACATATATAACCTCTGCCAAACGGCTGTCATAATGAGTAAAATATGTTATGTTAAAATACTTTTTTTTGTTATTTTCGTGATTGGTAAATCTTATGTCGTGTATTTTTTAGCGTTTATTAATTTTCCAAATGGAAATTGCATTTTTGATTGTAATTTCTGAGAAAGTACTGTTACAGTTTTTGTGAAAAAAGTGCTCATATTTAATTTATTGACATGAAATTTTTTTTATTATTTTAACTCAAAAAAAGTTTTAGCTGGTGTATATCTTGCCAATAATCAATTATCCATAAAGGAAAAAGCATTTTACCATCTTGTTTTTAAGAAAAGGCTGTTGAAAATTTTCCAAAATTTTAGTTTCAATGTAGATGGCGCTGCCTCACTTGGACCTGGCCTTAATAGCCGCCTTAATAACCGCGACCAACATGAATTTAACGTCCAATTGTATATTTTTATTTAAATATTTATTTCCTATTTCAAATGATAAAAGAAAGGACTAGATTTTTAGCAAAATTTTATTGTTTATATATTTAAATAATATAAAATAACTAATATTTTGTGTAAATTAATGTTTAATATAGGGGAATAGTGTCAGGGTTGGACACAGTTTTGGTTTTTTGTTTATAAATATTTTGTTTAGATAAATTCAGTCAATTGTGGTATATGGGTGGAAAGATCTACAAAAGAGGAACACTTTTGCTGTGGACCGTACATTGATTGGTCTAAAATTAAAAAAGTTATAAACATTAAAAAAAAAACAATCTAGTCAGGGTTGGACTTTTCAGTCAGGGTTGGACACTTTTTGAAAATCGAAACGCATTATTGGTAAAAACGTAAAATAACATTTGTAATGTTTTTTATTCTTATTTTTTCATGTTTATCTTTACTTATTGTTTACAAATTGTAAAGCTTCATGGGTTTAAAAAAGGAATGAACTCAAATTACAAAAAATAACGCTTTATTGTTCCAAATAACTCAATGAAATGATGAACAAAATTTATACAATTCAAGTATTATTTTTCTAATATCTTTGGCACAATTTTGCACTGAAATATCAATAAAATAAAATTTATTTATAAATTGTGTCAAATTCATAATTAATATGGGTGTCCAACCCTAACTAGAAGCATCATTTTCGAATTGTGCTAACCATAACCAGACATGTGTCGCTATTCGATTTTTCACTTTTTTTCTTCTTAAATTATGTACCCCACAATACATTCAATAAGCTTACCTTGCCGAATTCTTGCTTTTTTTACACATTTTTTAGGTTTATTCACAAGTCAAACAAAACTTTTTATGTCTCTTCGATTGCACCGAAGTCACAGGAGACGCTACTTTTGATTCTCCAAAAATGTAATGCCACAAAAAGTTAGGTTACACAACTAGAAGATTCGTCACGTACGCACACAGGTGGCGCTGGTGTTCTTATTTAAAAAAAAGCCAAGTGTCCAACCCTGACAAGTGTCTAACCCTGACATTATTCCCCTACTTTATTTTAACTTACTTTAAATATATAACAGAAACAAAAACATTCTAATTTGGAATATATACTTGCGGCGCCTATTTTAGAATATTTTATATTTAAATTCAGTATGTAATATTCTAATTTTAAGAATATTACATACTGAATTTAAATATAAAATATTCTAAAATAGGCGCCGCAAGTATATATTCTAAATTCTAGAATATTTTTTTCGGTTCACTTAATATATAGAATTTTGAAATTGATAATAAATAATATAAATCAAAGAAAAAAAATTTTTTGAACTCTCTGAGGATTCGAACGCATGATGCATAATTTGAATAGTATCTCACATTTCAATCCGCCTTAATAACTATGACCAATGTTGACAAAACATATATAATTTTATTTGAATATTTTGCGTATGCATATAAAAACTATTTTCTTAGATTAAAATAATTTTTATGTTACTATTATTGTTTATAGTCTTTATATAATAATTAAATATTTTTTAAACAAGAATATATTAAAAAATTATTTTTCAATAAAAAAAATTTGTAAATATTCATAATTTTCAAATTTTTTTTTCATTGAAACATAATTTTTTTTATTTATGTAAAAATTAAATGCCTGAGAATTTTTCAACGTCTCGATCGATGAATTTGTATTCTAATTAAATTTCTGACGCAAAATATAATCAAAGAGCTAATAAGATACAATTATAATTAACGGATCTAATCGAATCATATATATAGTTAAAAAACCGTGGCTCGGCGGTGAGAGAAATTTTTGATAAGAAAAAAGTAATTATTGATTGTATAGTGTAGATAATTAATTATGTAAACAAAGCAAGTCATTATTTTTTTTATATATATAAATGTATGTATGTGTGTGTATATAGGAGTTATTAGCATCTTTCCACTGCCAAGGCCGCGCTTATTATTGTCCAGGTTCATTGTCACCTTTCTCTTCTCTTGGAACAAACTCTCGTGCATATGAAATTAACTTTATTCTTTATCGTTTCCTTTTCCATCTGAATGCCGTAGATCGACTTACTTTAAAAATTATGTGTGCAATTACTAAAGTTTATGCTTGGATGGTTTTACTTCTCACTCCTCAATTAGTATTTACCACAGAATTATTATACAATTGGCTGTATCGAATATATAACGAGAGACATTTGCCGGTAAATTTGTTAAATCTTTTATTTTTCTATAAAAAAAGAAAATTAAACTTGTTTACAAAGTATTTGCCAATATTCGTGAATTTGTTTTTTTCTTTCTAAGGATTATTAAATTTTATTTTCAATTTTGTATATATATATGGAACAATTAAAAAAAAAGAAGTTACAAATTATTGTAAATAAATTATTGTAATAATAAAAAACAAATATTAATAATAATATTATTAAATATATACAATAAATGCAAAATAAACTAATAAAACATTTGCTTCTTCAAGTTAAGATTTGTTTCTAACCTCAAAAAAAATTTATGGTTTTATTAAAAAATTAAAATATTATAATGAATTTATATAAATCTTAATTTCTGTTGATTTTTAAAATCACTGATTTAGAATTTGGAGACAAATTTTCAAAATTCAAAATCATGAACTTAATAATTTTCTTTTGTCACTTACATTGAGAAAATTTGACTTCAAAAATTCATATTTAACGACCCTTCAAACTTTCTAGTAACAAAATTTAGTCGAATTAAGTAAATTTTAAATAATTTTGTGCTTCATATTGGATACGCCATTAAAAATTTTTCGTAATCTAACTTGACATTCATAATCAGCGACTACAAAAATCCCCATATACTAAATTTAATAAAAATTAATTTTTTTTTTTTTAATAATTCGTTTGACATATTGAATCCGCCATTTTCAATTTTGAAAATATAATTTAAGATTTGTAATCAGTGACCCTAAAAATCTCTAGATACCAAGTTTCATATAAATTGAACCATTTTTTTTTTAAATTCGTCCGCCATATTGAATTTTGAAAATCTGATGTCAGATTTCTAATCAGTGACGTTATTAATCACATGGGTAAAAACTTCCACATAAATCAAATAACAAGTAATTAAAAAATCGCCGACCATAAAAAAATCCGCCATGTTTTTTGAGGTTAGAAAAAAATTATGATGTGAGAAAGCAAATTTCACTTTAGATTTGTATTCTGTACATCAAAATACATAGAAAAAAAATACTTTGGTATATCGCGCAAAATTTTCTTTTTTTTGTAGATGTTTTTTTTTATAAATTAATAATTTTATTTTATATTGTCAATAAATAAAATAAAATAAGTAAATTTATTTTTAATTCGAAGGTTATGTTAAGTTCTCCTTTTTTACAATATTCAAGGACGGCTTAAGATTTAAAAGCAAATGTGATTGACCCTTAATTTATATATATTTATATATATATATATATATATATATATATATACGTATATGCGCGTTCATTAATTCAATTGCGTGTTTCATATTTAATGAGGTTTATTCCACGAACCAAAAGATAAATTAGATTTATCTGATAAATATTAGCGCATCAGATAATTATGTAAAATATATGTTAACTTTTTACATTTTTACTATTTGTATCTAATTATAAACAATTTAAAAAAATGACCCGCCATATTGAATCCACCATTTTGAATTTTGAAAAATTGACATTGGATTTTTAGTTAATGATAGTTTTTCTATATCAAAATCGATATAATAAAAAAATAAAAATCGATTTTTTTTGAACAAATAAGTCACTTTTAACTGTGTATAAGCCTATTTTAATATTGAAATATATTTTTTATTCATTCAGTAAATAAACTAATTTTTTAAAAAGTATTGATATTTATTATACAATTTTCTGTATAATTTTGAAAAGTACAGAGTGATAAAAACTCGTTAATTGGGTGGTTTTTAATGTCACTGTTATCAAATTTGACAGCAGATTTTCAAAATTTAAAATGGCGGATCCAATATGGCGGAAGAATTTTTTAAAATTCATCGTATTCGCTGAAAACTCATAATATAGAGGGTTTGGAGGTCGCTGATTACGAATTCGATGTCAAATTTTTATAATTCAAAATGACGGACGTAATATAGCTGTCAAATAAATTAAAAAGCGTTTAGATTTATTTGGAACTTGTTTCTTTGAGGTTTTCGGGGTCACTGATTACGAATCCGGTGTTAGTTTTTCAAAATTCAAAATGGCGGATCCAATGTGGCGGTTGAAAATTTTAAAATCGTTTGAATTTACTTAAAACTTTTTTTTCGGATGTTTTCGGGGTCGCTAATTACGAATCCGATGTTAAGTTTTCAAAATTCAAAATAGCGGATCCAATATGGTGGTTGAAAATGTTTAAATTGTTTGGATTTACTTGAAACTTATTTCTTAGGGGTATTCAGGGTCGCTGATTACGAATTGAATGTTAGTTTTTCAAAATTCCAAATTTCGGATCCAAAATGGTAAAAGAATTTTTCAAACTTTATCAGATTAGCTTGAAACTCTTTTTTGGTGGTTTTGGCAATAGCTGATTAAAAATTCGATGTTTGTTATTCAAAATGGTCGATCTAATATGTCGGGCTTTTCTTTAACATTATAATATTTGATTGAAACTTGTTCCTTTGTAGTAATTAGACTCGCTGATTACAAAATCTAACACTAAAATTTTTATCACTTTTTTTTCCGAAAATTTTCGAATAAAAATTTTCCAGTAAATTAAAATTTTTTTTAAAGTTACCATATCAATTTTCTAAAAAAAAAAAAAAAACTTCCGCTATATTGAATTCGACATTTGAATTTTTTTTTCTTCAAATTATGTAAAATTAATAGCTCGCCTCATTATCACAATGCCTAAAGCATAAACATTAAAGACAAATGATTGTTTAGACAAGAGCTTAAATGACTTGCTAACAAAGCGTGACAGTGAAATCACCGTGAATGGAATGATATAGCGCGGCAGTGAAATAAAACCCTTTAAGCGTGTGGCGAACTATACATATATACTGATCACGCCATTCTTGCTAAGCAATTGTATGCAAATTTTCCAAATAGTTGAATAGGTTAAATTTTTGTTTTATAGCAACAGGTGATTCGCCCATTATATTTCATAATAATATATCGACTTGTTCATGACCTTTTCGGTGACCCGCGTGCGTTTTTTTTTTATCATAATATGAATGTATATTCCCGATATAGACAGCAATTTTATATATATATATATATATATATATATATATATATATATATATATTAAGCAGGTCAACGGCGCAACACTCAATTCCCCTCCAACAAACGGGAACATCACCTGGCACGCGATCACCGTTAGTGTTCAAAACAAGAAACCGCCTACACACAGGGCATTTTATCTCATGCGTCTTAAGGTCGTCCTATAGTGACGCATTTTAAAGAGTAGTTTCAGAAAACTGGTTTTGCCCATTTTCTTTCTTTTTTTTTATTTAAAAGGGAAAATTAATTATACATGATGATATATTGTTGAGGTAAATATAATAATAACAATAATAATAATACATTAATAATATAAGTAATGATGTTTAGTTTTAGGATGCAATAATTGCCTCTGTTTTAAAAGTAGCCTGCGCGAGTATATAAAAACTCTGCATGCGCACGCGGACTTTATTTTATTGGCTGTGGTTTCAAGGTCATGAGACGACTATTGGCTACCGTTGCATGATTTTGAAAAATAGTCAATAAAATAAATGCAGGAGCCCTTGTGGGCGTGTTGAGGTTTAGAAAGGTAGTGACTAGTGGGATTTATTTACATAAACTCTCCAAATCTGAATTAATAAAAAAGTTTACTAATTTAAATTTAAACTTTTTGCTTCTCAATTAGTAAAATTTTATTAATTATTAGTAACTTTTACTAACAATTAGTAAAATTTAACTAATTCTAAAGCAAAAAGTGAGTCACTAATTTAAATTAGTAAACATTTTTACTAATTCAGATTTAGAGAGTAGTAAACCGGAAGATATTTATTAATTATTAATTTAGAAACTGAACAAAAAATTTGTCAATAATAGGTCAAAATGACCGAGTGTGCTACTGAAAGGTTAAAAATTATATATATATATATAAAATATAAATGCAAATTTCTTCATACTAAAAGTAATATTTAATATAATTTTTTAAAAAGTTTTGACCACGAAATTCAAATATATGTAAATGTCTATAGTACGAGACTTTTTGTTTGAAAATTTAATATATTACCGCACTGAAAAAAAATTTATTTGATTTAAATAATCGGTTACTTGACTATTATCAAATAATAATGTTTATTTGTATCAAATAATTATTATTTGAGTCAATTAAATGCTATTTGTTTTAAATGCAGAAAGTATTGATTTAAATACAGTTTATTTAATTCAAATAAAAATTATTTGTTTCAAGTAAATATTTATTTGATAATAGGTTAAGTAACCGATTATTTGAATCAAATAAATTTTTTTTTCAGTGCGTTTTAATTTACGGAAAGGAAGAGTCACCTTATTTTGGCACAAATTTAAAAAAAAAGACTTATTCAAAAGGTCGATTTTCATAAAGTCGAATAATCATTTTGTCGAATAGTTAAAAGTTCGAATTTTACAGAAAAAAATCGAATTTTTATAGAAATTCGAACTTTTAAAACATCGAATTATTAAAAATTTGAATAAACAAAAGATCGAATTTCTAAATATTCGAATTACCAAAATTAGAAATTCGAATTATCAGAGAATCGAATTTTCAGAAGTTCAAATTATCAATAGATTTAATCGAATTTTCAAATTTCTGAAAAGATTGAATTTGTAAAAGTTTGAATTTTTAATTAATCGAATTTCCAAATGTTCCAATAATCAAAAGATCGAAACTTTTTTTTTTTTGGAAATTCGATCAAATAAAAAATCAAACTTTTCATAAGTAATTAGAATTTCTGAATAATTACAATTTTTAAACATTCGATCTTTTTGTAATTCGAACTTTCAAAAATTTAATTGTTTGATTATTCGTACTTCTATTAATTCAATCTTTTGATTATTTGAAATATAAATAATTCAATCTTTTACTAATTCGATCTTTTGGTTATCCGAACATTTAATAATAAGAATTTCTAAATATTCGCACTTTTGAAAAGTCATTTTTTTTATTATTCGAACTTTTGAAAATTCAAGTTTTTAATAATTCGAATTGTGAACAATTCGATCTTTCGGTTATT